CCATTACATATTTTTGAGTGTTTAAGTCTACATTAAGTATGACTTTTGGACGAAAATTGGACTCTTTTTCATAGGTATCACTCCAGGCATGAAATTTTTTTCCATCAACCAAAATCGCTCAAAATCTAATGATTTCTATTCCTCGGGACCCCCAATCATCCCGTGAAGTCAGATTTTAAATAACTTTTCTGGGGGGTGAGATAATCGATGGACAAATTTTGCGTACGGCGGACAACGTACGACGTACGACGTGGAACAGACCCACAACAACCATGCTCAAAACGGCCTGATTCGGGTTCTCTGACCTCAGAAACGTCCAGAAAACATGTTTTTGAGATGTCGTAAATTTTGACCCATTACAATACTTTCCCCTTTCACACTATGTGTGTGCGGAAAAGTAACAATAGAAGTGAAAGTTATGGTTATAATTACACTTACATTGCTACAATCACTATAACAATCACTTTGATTGTGTTCACTCCATTTCAGCTCCTGACGATATCCGGCTGAGCTGATTCATCAGGCTGAAAATATCTCATTATATCTCTATTTTGCGTATTCATATACTTTGTTTCGATAGAAACTCTTCCCCCGTTACATAACTTATCAAAGTGTTCCTTCGACATGCCACCATCTCAAATGTTCAAATAAAGCAATTTTGATGAAGTTATAGACTCGTTCGAAAAATTCAACAAAAAAATTTATTTTAAGAAATATTCTCAATATTAAAGATTGTTCGAGTTTATTACGTGGATTATTCAAATGTTTGCTCTAGGCCAAATATTGGCATCTCTTTCAAGAAAAACATGTTGAATTGCGTCAGAAATAGTGTAAATAATAATAGTATTTATTGACATTATTTTTGACGCAATTCGACATAAAAACTAATATGTTTATTCGAATCGTTTAGAATTAAAATGACTTCTAATGATTTTTAGCCCAATGCATTTGCACATTTTCCGCTTGAACAAAAACCGATTTTTCATGAATGTCTTCACTAATGTTAAAGGTTTCGAGATATAATTCAACTGTTCTGAAAACATTTATAAAAAATCGTTTGTCGTTTACGCGGAAGAGAGGTAAAAATCGCTAGAAGTCACTTTTATTCTAAGCGATTCATTTAACAAATGTTTTCTATTGAAGCTATGTTTAAAAAACTGAATTATAATTTCAGAGAATATAAGGAGAATTAAGATCTCTTCATTTAGTTATCACTATCTAAAATTTTCATCAAACGTTTTAGACAAATTTCTGAAAATGAAATCGATTACAATTATATTTTATATCTGCGTGGCACATTTTCCATCCATGGTAAGATTTATACTGTTCTAGCAACAATAAAATTGCATCTATTACATTGTTTTGGACATCAGGTAGCCATTATTTTTTGTTGCAAATACCCTATTGTAACACATTTGTCCAAATTTCGTAGAATCGCAAATTACTTGACCATAAAATTAAAATATGAAATATAATTTTGATCATTTCTGTAGATTGAATCCATATCAGAAAATGAAGTTGCACAGTTAAATCAACAATTGAATGATATGGCCACAAACAATGAAACTATTGGTATTTTTAAGCCATCGCAAAATGGATATCTTGGTAATGGTGCTCACACTCTTATGTACAAAGGTTCGAATATTATTCACTTGGTGAAGAAACAAAAAGTTCTTTTTATTGTTTATTATTGTATTGTTAGGTACACTACTCTACCCAGAAAATTTTGAAGTTGCCATGAAATTTACACCTATCCACGAACGAGCACATGCTGAAATAAAGAGTCTTACGGGAGTAAGACGAACTTTTCCGCACGGTGGTAGTTGCGTATTTTATTAAGAAAGTTCAAAATAATATTTGTTCGATTTTTCAAGCCTTTCAAGCGTCGTAAAGTTCGAAACCAAACAATATGTCTCAACTTTGGCAACGAAATATTCTTTAATTTAATAGCAGAAGTACCCGAGAAAAGATTTTTAACACTTTCATGATGAACCCATTTGTGCGGCATTTGAAAGTATTCTATTTTCAAACAAAACACTATAAAAAAAATGTCTGACGTTAATTTTGCCATAAAAATTATTTTTGAAACACTTTTCATAACTAAAGTCACAAAAATTTTGGATTTTTTTATGGGAGCCATGTCTGTATGCTACCTTAATGGCATGAAACTTTGTACAGGTTATTTCTTTCACCAAAAAATAGCATTCGGAGGGTTTGGAGAAATTTCAACCAAAATTAAGGGTACCTCCCATACAAAATATTCGTTTTTGAGCCAAAAATTGTAAATTTTGTATGGGAGTTACCCCTAATTTTGATTGAAATCTCTTCAAACTTTCAGAATGTTATTATTTTGTGTAAAAAATAGTCTGTGCAAAGTTTCGCGTCATTAAAGTAGCAAACAGGCATGGCTCCCATACGAAAATTAAATTTTTTTGTGATTTTTCCAAGGAAACTGTATCAAAAATTGATTGT